TCATGTAGCCGACCCCACGTAGTGGGACAAAGGCTTCATGTTGTTGTTGTTGTATGTCCAACTGTTGACTCATTTTTAAAAAGCTTGGGAGTCCTTTAATAATTTTTGGGCACTAACAAATTTAGTCATGAATCATCTCTTAAATTATATATAAAAACTAATAATTCTAAGTAGGAGACACAAGAACCATGTCAAGGGTGTCTCCTTAAAAGTAATTAAGAATAAGCAAAACTTAGGTGCATGATTGATATTAAGGAGAGAAGCTGTTAACTTGAAATATGAGACATAATCAATATGGCCTGACATCCTTTTCTATGAGTTGAGTTGAGGGATCTTGAACGTTGAAGGAGATTTAGTCTATGCAATTTTAGTAGAAAAGATGTTTAAAAGTTAATTTATATGCTTCATGACACAACAACTAAGTGGTGTACCAATAGTACTTTCTTCCAAGGGATATGTCTCTTCAATAAGTGGAGACAAGTGAGAACCCTTAGACTCAATTTTCACCAAGGATAGAAGAATCAAAAGATCCACATTCTTGAGAAGACTTGACACATGGACAATTTCTTGAAAATCACATAAGAATTTCTTCAATCATTTCTGTAAACGACCATCATTTAATTAAGTCGTCCCATAATGATGAAATCTTATTGTTCAAAAATCATCTCTTTCTTTAGGACCCTCCAAGACTTAGCTTCTTCTCGTTGGTACCTTAACCACTCATCAAACCTTTAAAGACACAATAGATCTAAATTTGCAAGCAGACGACACTAAAACAATACTAATAAACACATATCAAATATAATAGAGAAAATAACAAGAGGATAGAATAATAAGAACTCGAAGAATATATTGAATTCATTCTCCAAGCAAGACAATCAAATTGTTTTAAAATAATTATTTTAAATAATATCCTTTTAACATTTCATTTACATTTACCATATATAACTCCTACATTTTACAATTTTTCCCTACCACTTTGATTAAATTTCCAACCAACCTGACAAAATTTTAATATGAAAAGCAAAGCACCTGATAGTTAGATACTAATTTTGTCCATAAATTAAGGCATCACATGGATTAAGACTGATACAATGACTCACTAACACACTCTTAATCAGCTAATTAAAAATAATAATAATAAAATTTCTTAACTTTTTAATATTTCCTCTAACTAATATGAAGAACAAAATAATATTTCTAATCATGCACAGAGATATTCTTATCTCAATTCATGCGCACAGCGCCCTTTCCGACCATACAGTAAATGAATGGACATAAAGAGCCATAAGGCCTCCAAAAGCCAATAAAGTTGGGGATAAGGTGCGACGTGGCACAACCGAATGGTTTTTAGATGATAAGGGTCCAATCCACCAACAGGCTATATTTGTGGTGGCCAAAGTGTAGATGTCATCGGGCAAGAAATTTTGCACATTGGTTAGAATTTATATATAGAAGCATACGAGCATATTGAGGGCCTCAGGCAGTTTCAGAAGTACAGTACCTTGCTTAGCTCCTGCTGTTCAATTTGAAGGAGAAGGAAGAGTCAAATATGGCTTCTTCAATGATGGTCTCGTCCGCCACTGTGACGGTCGCCCGAACAACAGCTCCGGCTCAGTCGACCATGGTGGCTCCCTACACCGGCTTGAAGTCCGCCGGCGCTCTGCCCACCGCACGTAGAACCGCCACAAATCTCAACCACCTTCCGAGCAACGGCGGCAGAGCCCAGTGCATGAAGGTATCAGAGTTCCGGCAGCTTTTTCAGACTGCTTTTAGAACTTTCTGTTGCAAGAAGAAATTTTTTACAATCAGATCTGATAGAATATGATAAGAAAGTAATAAAAAAGTTAGAGTCAATCCACAATCAAAACTCCTTTGATTTTATAATCCTTAGTATTTTGTGTTGTAGGTGTGGCCTGTTGAAGGTGTGAAGAAATTTGAGACGCTGTCTTACCTCCCTACACTTTCTCCCGAAGCTTTGCTCAAGCAGATTGATTATCTTATCCGTTCAGGATGGATTCCTTGCTTGGAATTCGACAAGATTGGCTTTGTGTACAGGGAGCACCATAGGTCACCTGGATACTATGATGGGCGGTACTGGACAATGTGGAAGCTGCCTATGTTCGGGTGCACAGATGCAGTTCAAGTGGCAAAGGAGGTGGAAGAGTGCAGAAAGGAACATCCTGAGAAATTTATTCGAATTATCGGATTTGATAATGTACGTCAAGTGCAGTGCATCAGTTTCATTGCCTATAAGCCTAAAGGCACAGAATATATTAATTGAGCAATTCTGAAAGAGCAACTAATGCTTGAGATTATTGTTCTAGTTTCCTATTATCCATCGATTTCTCCTTATTTTTTTGGGATGTAAGAACTTTTGTTTATGTTGGTTTCCTATGTTGCTTTAGTCCATCTCTGTTTGTTTTTGTGAATGGTGGGAACCAACAAGTGATCAAGTCATGTTGTAATGTTGTTCACTGTCATTGCAGTATTGTTCTTCCTGATTTAACACAAGTTATGAGAAGTTAGTATGAGTTTTATTTCATGCAAGAAGAAGGATACGTTGATCTATTATTTCATTCATGAAAAGTGCTATGCAAAAATAATGAAAGGAAGGGCCCTCTCTCTTCCTTGATGTATTCCCTTTTGTCTTTCTCCTACAAAGTCATGTCTTCCTTACGAAGCGATGGTCAAGTTTAATGTTCATGTGATTAAGAGGCTATTACTATCAGTTCTCTCGATTTGACAAGCAAAAAAGCACATGAAGGAGTTTTAGTGCCCTTATCTATGAATAGAGAAATTAGCGAGAGAATAGAATAATAAGAACTCAAGAATTTTATTGAATTTTTGTAAGGGAGAGTAAACTACTACTTTCGCATGGAGCTTACCAGAATAAGTTGAATTCACCCTCTAAGCAAGGCAATCAAATTGTTTTAAATAGTGATTTAAGTAATTTTTTCTTAACACTTCATTTACTATTAATATAAACAACTTCTACAATTTACAAATTATCCTACTAAGCCCTACTGCTTCTTAAAACAGCTTTCTAGTATAAACATTTTAATTTTTATATTAAAAAGCTGCTTTAAGAAGCAATAAAAAAGTCATCCCAAAATAAAGCCTAAGACACTTGTAGCTTCTTATACAAGTGATTGTACAGCAGTTGTGGAGATAGTAACTGTTTTAAAGATGTTGTAGAAAGTAATTTTATAGCATAAAAATTAATTAAAAGCAGCAGAAAAATAGTAACCAAATAAAAATTATGTTTGTTATCTAATAAGTAAATAGTAAGAAAGCTGTCATAAATGAAGCCTAAATATCCTACTACCAAATGGATTTTTAATATGAAAGCGCCTGATAGTTGGATACTAATTTTATCTATTATCGCATCACTGGACTAAGATTGATACTCATAATCAGCTAATAAAAAAATAATAATAAATTTGCTCAACTTTTTAATATTTCTTATAACTAATATAATATTCTGAAACGCTTGAAAAGTAAATTTAAAATTTAGAAACAAATAATCCATTCTAATCATCCACAAAGATATTCTAATCTCTATTCATGAGCACAGCGCCCTTTCCCACACCATACAACTAAATGAATGGAGATAAAGAGCCATAGGCCTCCAAAAGCCAATAATGTTGGGGATAAGGTTTGACGTGGCTCAATTGAATGGTTTTTAGATGATAAGGGTCCAATCCATTAGCAGCCAGTTCATTTTTACTGGCCAAAGTGTAGATTTCATCGCCTAATTAATTTTGCCCATTGGTTAGAATTTATATAATGAAGCATCTAAGCATATTGAGGGGCCTCAGGCAGTTTCAGAAGTACAATTGTTAGCTTAGCTCCAGCTCTTCAATTTCAAGAAGGAAGAGTTAAAAATGGCTTCTTCAATGATGGTCTCCTCCGCCACTGTAATGGTCCCCCGATCAACAACTCCGGCTCAGTCTACCTTGGTTGCTCCCTACACCGGTTTGAAGTCCGCCGGCGCTCTGCCCATCGCACGTAGAACCGCCACAAACCTCAACCATCTCCCGAGCAACGGCGGCAGAGCCCATTGCATGCTGGTATCAGAGTTTGCTTAGCTTTTTCATAAATTTGCTTGACTACAACTTTTTTATTTCTTTTATAGAATTTTCGGTGCGGAAAGAAAATTTTTTACGATCAGATCTGATAGAATATGATAGCTATAAGAAAGTGATAAAAAGGTTGTAATCCATCCACAATCAAAAGCCCTTTGACTTTCACAATCCCTAATATTTTGTGTTGTAGGTGTGGCCTATTGAGGGTAGGAAGAAGTTTGAGACGCTGTCTTACCTCCCTCCACTTACTGATGAACGTTTGCTCAAGCAGATTGAGTATCTTATCCGTTCGGGATGGATTCCTTGCTTGGAATTCAGCACGGTAATTGATTCCCAACACCATTAAAAAAAAAATTTAATAAAATGTTGAACGCTCAACTTACAATCATGGTTGAATAGTGGTGATCTACTTGTTTATTTAGGGTAAAAATAATAATTAATTTATTAATTAATGAATAGAATGCTAACAACTAGCTAAGTTGATCATCTATGGTAGTTTAATTGCTCATGCAATGATGTGTTGTAGTTTCTTGAATCAATATTGTTCATGCAGCTCATATTGATCTTTGGTTGAGAGCTTTAGTTACCAACCTAAAGATCTTGTGTTGTGTCTGTAAATTTGTCTTAATTGGCCTGACTTAAGTATTAAAAAAAAAAAAAAAAAAAACTTCTATCCTACGATGCACAGTTCAATTAAATTTTAAATTATTTCTTTATTGATATTTGAACTTCGAAAAGTATTTAATATAATAGAGTGAATGAAGTATGTTTTGATGAATAACTAAGACTCTTCAAATAGTTCAATCGTTCCGATTCAACAGCTCAACAAAATGATTATTTTGGAACATATTTTGAAGAATCAAAGACTAAAAAAAAACTTATTAGAGGGTTGAATTAAGAAGACTTCATATAAATAGTCTATAGATCATTTTGATCTTTTTTGCATCCGATGCAAAAACAGGTACATAATAATGCCTGTTGTAAAACTCTAATATTTTTGCATTTTTATGTGTCCTTATTTAAATAAATAATGTGCTCATGAATTGAGTGGATCAGGTTGGATTCGTGTTCAGGGAGAATCATAGGTCACCTGGATACTATGATGGACGGTACTGGACAATGTGGAAGCTGCCTATGTTCGGGTGCACAGATGCAGTTCAAGTGATAAAGGAGTTGGTGGAGTGCAAAAAGGAATTTCCTGAGAAATTTGTTCGAATTATCGGATTTGATAATCGTCGTCAAGTGCAATGCATCAGTTTCATTGCCTATAAGCCTGAAGGCAAAGACTATTAATGAGCTATCCTGAAAAAGCAACTAATGCTTGAGATTGTTGTTCTAGTTTTCTATTATCCATGGATTTCTCTTTATTTTTTTGGGATTTAAGAACTTTTGTTTATGTTGGTTTCCTATGTTGCTTTAGTCCATCTCTGTTTGTTTTTGTGGATGGTGGGAACCAAGAAGTAATCAAGTCATGGTGTAATGTTGTTCACTGTCATTGCAAAGTTCTTCCTGGTTTAGCAGAAGTTATGAGAACTTTGTATTAGTTTTGTTAGATGACAGATATGGCATAAAATATAGCAAAATACTTGACTGCATATTATGTATCATCCATCCAATAGCTCTGGAGACATTTTGCAGTATAGTATATAATTATTGTGGCGTAATTCTTTGCTCATCGCTTAAATTTGCTTACTGATCATTCTTATCATCACAACCAGTTGTTGGTTAGGAGTAGGGGTCGAGATGTGACGCGGAAGGTGGACTCCATCATGTGGACGGCGGACGCGACGTCGCGACCTGACGCGGACACGACCTGACAGGCAGCGTGGACGGGACTTGTCACGCGGGATGACGAAACGGGTCAATTCGGGTTGACCCGTGGGTTGTCGGGTCAACCCGAACCCGACCTGCTTTTCAAACGAGTCAGAAATCCAAACCCAAACCCGACCTGTTTCACATACGGGTTGACCCAAACCCGAATTTTTCCGGGTCGAGTCTGGGTCGGGTCAACTTTTGACACCCCTAGTTAGGAGTGCAACTTGACTAGAGGGTTTACCTTTATGAGACTGAAATTATAAATCGTGCATCTTTTAAATGATCATTACTTGCCAACAAAGATTTAGTGTTGCACGACAACCTACCTGCAATAAGTACTAGGTAACTAATAATGCAGCGCCAGACCACCAGATCCGCAACACTCATACAAATAGACAAAAGATGTTTTTTAAGCTTCAAATGAAATTTTGTGCAAACTTTAGCAACAATCACTTAGCGCAAATAATTCTATTTAAATATTTAAATAATCACCCCCTCATGCATTAAAATATAATTACTTGCATAGGCTCTAGTGAGGGTGTTGTAGGCGCACACGTGACATCTGAGGATGTTGCACGAATCAAGAAATGAACCTGAGTTCTAGCTCGATCCTTCTATATGAATAGATAGGAGTCAACACGGCACGAACTATCGAACAAATATACGGTTGCGACATCGACCGAGATATTCATTTTTTACATTTATATTAGTCCTTTAAGATTTATAAAAAATACATATTAATAGAAGCATAAAGTCGACGACGAACTCAATCCCCTGTCTGCAAGTAGACAGAGTCAATGAGGTTCAACAAATAAAATGAAATTGTTCATAATTACCCCGATAATAGCCGTCTTAACATAAAATCTCAACTGGAGGGAACCTCAAATATTTAAGATGCCTCCTAAATTCCAACGAAAAATCAAAACTCTAAGATTACCAAAACTTAAATATTTAAAATTAAAATAAAATTACCAAAATACTTAAAGCAAAACACTCATTCACCCTCCACAACAGTTTGTTGAAGTCGACAAGTTTGAAAATACACTGCAGCTCACAAAGAGCAAATGTCTGGTCGAGAATATCACTATGATTCATTCTCAATCCATCTATTATCAGTAAGGACGTGGCACATGTCCTCTAACCAGTGGTTTTGCAACCAAATGACACCACATATAAATGGTTATAATCAGGACCCTCTAATAGATTGGTTGCCACCAAATGACACCATTAAATTATGATCAGTGTCAGAGCCCATATGTTTTCTAACTGCGTTAAATCATTGAGTTATGAATCAAAAAGATATGACCAATAGGGCATAAAGCCCTCTGTTAGCTAAGGTGAATTCAAATTTGTCCCATTATACATATATTTGCCCAAGTCTACAATGTACTCATGCACAAAGCAACACATAGCTGTCGACAATGATCATTTTATTAGGTTGGGTCGACTACCTCCTCTAACTAAGTAGACTATGAACCATGATGACTTGTGATGACGGAACCATAGGATCTTGATCAGGTTCAACATCATTCCACCACCATTCGCTTTAAGTACAGCGTGGTGAATTTCTAATTTTAAATATTAAATTTTCAAATAACTAAACATATTGCTACTGTACACCAGATACTACTTATTTATTTGAAGACTAGCCTTAATCGACATTTCTCTCTCGTTATTGGGAAGGGTAATTGATGCAAGAAAAAAATTAGGAAAACCCCTAATTTTTTGCAAGCAAAAGCAACTCTTCCTAAGATAAAAGAAATTACATGAAATATGAAAAATATGATAAACCACAACTTTATATAATAAAAACTTACAAACTTTAATATTATTAAAGACTTACAAAAACAATGCTTACAAACTTATATAATAAAAACATTAAACACCTAAACTTGCTTTTTCCTTTGCTTGAGAAGAAGGGTACAAGTGCAGTCGGACTTGCGGATAGAAGAAGTAGATTAGGAGCCGAGACGAAACAGAAATAACCCTCAAGTTATTCTAAAGGAGAAGAGAAGCACGGAACAAACTCGCAAGATTTTCCAAAGAAGGAAGAAAAACCTCTCAGGTTTTTAGTTCCAAAAATACCATCATAATCTCTCTAAAACAGCCACAAACATCTCTATATATAGGTAAAGAAAGGGGAGCCAAACAGCCACCATACCACTAATTAATCCCATTAAATCATGGAAATAAAAGACCAAAAGACACCACAACAGCAACTGAAAAACCACCCCAAAATCAGGCCAAATACATCCACAAACAGCCCCCAAAATCTACACAGAAAATAGCAAGGAAAGCCACAGGAAGCACAACCATTTAAGGGGAAGAGGAAGGCCAAAAGACATACCAAACAGCAGCTGAAAAGGCATCCCAAATATCAGCCAAGTTCATCCCAATCCAGGCTACAAGGGGCGGAACCAGCAAAAACCGAGGAGGCCAGAGAAAAGGGGGCGAAGCTCCATCAGCTTTTCACGGGAACAGCAACAGCCAGGGAAAAATCGAGAAGACAAAGGGGAAAAGGCAAAGCTTTAATTCCACATTATGAGCTAAATTCGACACCAATTAATGAACTAAACTTCAGCTCATAATGAGCTAACCCACAACGCAAACTTTAATGAGCTAGAACCCAACTTTTTTAGCTCAAAACCAGCTGCCAAAGCCAACCCGAGAGCAGCCAAGGCTCCAAACAGAGAAATAACAAGCAGCCCAGGGACAAGAAGGAACCCAAGTTGATTAAACCTTGCCTATATCAGTAATTAACTATAGGAGCTTGCGCTTACAGGAAACCTGAACTCATATCATAAAATCCTCGCAAAATGAGGGCAAAATCTCTAAGTGATGTCTTATTCACAACCCAATCTTCCTTCTGAAAATTTGCCTTATAACATACTCGTTAAAACTCTCCTCAATAACCCGAAGAAAGAAGCGGGCCATGGAGAGGCCAGGGCGCGAATTTCCGGACCCCACACACATCTAGTAATAAAGGGTTAGTTTATCCCACTCTACTTCCAAAGTGCCAATTCCACCATTTTGCAATTAAGAATAGCATTGAAGTTGTTGTAGTGATGGAATGCCTCACTCTAATGCTCTTATTCTAGTAGTTCATTACTGGAAAGAAGAAGGGATAGTAGAAAGCTGTTCTTAACAATCAATAAGCAGCTATGATGTACCGACACGAACACGACGACACAGACACGACACGACACGGACACGGGACACGACAATTTTTAAAAATATAGGCCATGGGTGCGGCGTGGACACGGCATAATAATTTTTTAATATAATATATAAAAATTAAGGTGATATTATAGTAAAAATGTCAAGCAATAATAAATCAATTTCATGATAACTTGTTTAGCTTATAACATAAAGATGCTTAGTACAAAATGTCTAGTACAAATACAAAAATATAAGCAAAAAACCATTTAATACAATATGAAGGTCTAACTACTCAATAGAGGGAATGATAAAATTAGATTCAGATGTTGGTCTTTGGCCTTCAATATCATCATCATTGAATATCATTGCTTCCAACTCTGGTTCATCTAGAGAAAGATTTGCAACCTCCAATAATCCCATATCATCAAGGCACTCGAACTCTCTCCAGCAACATCCCACATCTTGTTATCACCTGTCATATAAAGTGAGGTTTTCCTTGATAGAAGACGAAGATTTGTATGCACATAAACTAAATCTTCAGCACGTTGTGGAGTTATTTTATTCCTCTTCATTGATTGAATAAATGAGTATGTGCTCCAATTTCTCTCTTTTTAAAGTTCGTAAGTTGTTTGTATGTGAAGATACCGAGTGGTATCGAGCATGTACCTAGCAGTACCGAGTAGTACCGAGCATGTACCTACCAGTACCGAGTAGTACCGAGCATGTACCTACCAGTACCGAGTAGTACCGAGCATGTACCTACCAGTACCGAGTAGTACCGAGCATGTACCTACCAGTACCGAGCATGTATCGAGCAGTACCGAGCATGTAGTGAACAGTACCGAGCATGTACCGAGCGGTGCCGAGCATGTACCTAGCGATACCAAGCAGTACCGAGCATGTACATTAGGTTTTTCAACAATGAAGAGAAGAAATGGCGAAATCCACTTACAGGTCTTGGCTCTCTTGCGCGCAGAAGGTGCTCTGTTTGGCCTTGATTGCGAACTTTGCCTCGAATGACAGCAGAAATAACGCAAGAACGAAGGAATGGGAAAGACGAGCTCTGCTTGGCTGAGCAGAAATGATGAAGGAGCGGGAAGCGAAGGCAGCGGGCTCCGTTTGGCGTCGACTGCGAGCTCTCCCAGTCCGCCCTAGAAGATTTCTTTCGTGGATCGAAAAAATAGGGCTTCTCATTCGCGGAAAAGGCTAAATAGAACGGACGATTTTATCATTGTTTTAAATTCCGACACTCCAATGCCGTGTCAGACACGTGTCCATGTCACTGCATACCCTCTTTAAGAGGCATGTCGGTGCATCATAGGTAAGCATGTGTGGGAAAAAGAAACCCAAAAAGTGTCGTGCCTCCAAAGCCATTCAAGTTGAAGCATCAGTTGATGTCGGTATAGGATCATTGGCTGAACCAAGAAAATGGATAGAAAAGGCAACCAATAGTACTCAAGATTGCGAAGCGAACAAAGCCATTCAAGTTGAAGCATCAGTTGATGTCGGTATAGGATCATTGGCTGAACCAAGAAAATGGATAGAAAAGGCAACCAATAGTACTCAAGATTGCGAAGCGAAAAAC